ACTAGTCCTGGGCGATGCTTCTGACACATCTCCGTAAGGCGTCGAACTGTAAGGTCGTTTCCAATCTCTCGACAGTTCCAACTGATTGTCCTCATGGATAAAGCTTGGATGGGTTCTTGGATCCCATCAAACCATCTTTTTTAGGACCATGTTGTCCACTCTTCCTTCCATGCCCTTGACTTATTTTATTCTCAAATTTCTTCTCAGCTTCTATTGGTCTAGGAGACATTGCTACTCGGCCCCGTGGAGAACCACGACGAAGAAACTCTGATTTCTTTGTTTGAATGCCCAAAGGGACATTAATACGGTTCCTTTCACGTGACGGTTTAGCCTCATGTCGGCGGTTCTTGGCTCTGGATGATCCCGACGCCACGCGAAGTTCTTCCTCCTGCATATCCATAAGTTCCTCTCCCAAAAGATCATCATCTTGCTCTTCACATTCCAGCTGCTCTCCCTCCGGCTGTATCATTGGATTCATATCATTCAAGGCTCCTATCATCTGATCTTTCTCGAGACCATTAATTTCAACCTGAAGAGATTGTGGAGAGAACGTAAGAGCTCTTGTTATACCCTTAGGACGCACAGTGACATTGCTATCCATTATTTGGGAAGAGCGTGTAGGAGACACAATGGTGCTCGCAAGGCGCTTCTTTACTTGTTCATTCGACTTCTTTTTCTCACTAAATGGAACAACAGCTTGATGATCATTTTGTGGTTGTGAGTGCGTTCCCTGTTTTTCCTCCATCCCTCTCTTGTCACGCTAAAAGTGCTCAGTCCTGCGTGTATAAGGGTTACTCCATTACGAGAGTCTCCATATCTGTTGTTCCTCAGCCCCTCATGTCGTCGTATTACTCTATCCTTATGTGATGGATATCGGTTTCTGTTGCCTTGCCTTCCTTGCCGATAATCATCCTCATGTTTGGTTCTGTTACTAGACAAAGATCTAGTATACTGGGACCTCCTACCATCTTGGTTTAGTGACTGTTGTCTAACCTCTGAGGAGACATTATTCCGATTGCTCTCTACATGACTCGGGAATGAAGGAGCCTGGACCCGGGAGAATACATCCCCTCTTGCCGCTTGTAGATTGCTTGTAGACTCCACAAGACATTTTTCTTTTTCATGTGTCATAAGGCCACATGTTTTACAATGCTTGAATAACTTGTCATAAGTTATTTCAATGGATACCTCATCACCCTCAGGAGACTGTACTTGGTGCTTGAACTTCAATGGTTTCCTCGTATCAATCTTGATTAACATTCGGCCCTCAGTCAGCTCAATAGTATCAACATGTCCAATTCTACCGCCAATGTTTTTTCAGATTTTTGTCCGTCCATAGATGTAACGGCATCCCTATTATCGTGACCCAAAAGGGGTTGGTCCAAGGGTAGTCATCGTGTACAATGGGCTCCCAACGCAGTAACACGAACATCCAAAAGTTGTAATGAAAGACAAAGTTTAAGTCATCTTCAGAGGTAAAGTTCAAAAGAAACTTTCCATTCCCCAGATCATTAGCTGTAACCCGGTCTTGCAATCCTCATTGAGCAGGCATCGTCTGAATTAACTTGACGACGTTTTGTTTTTTAGGATTTAAAACCTTTCCAATCAAAGACATTCTATGCTCCTTGATGACGAAGGAGTCGTCCTTATCAATCAGTTTGATCGGAGCATCATCGTCATCAAAGAGAATTCCTTTTCCCTTGTAATCTGCCATATGAGCAGATCATGTTCGAAACACCGGTCCCATAACGAGAGTTCACCGTAATAGCCTCATTTTTATAACGTGAGCAGATCCAAAGAGAAAAATTCGGTAACAGAGGGTTTACAGATAGAACCAGAGACAAAGGGTCGATCTGATATTGAAAAACTATCTGATCACCGAAGGGTGAACCAAATAGCTACAAGACTCGTCGACGTCTTCCTTCGCTATCAGGATATACATGGTGATGATCAGCTTGAGAGAGATGACAAAGCACAGATGACCGTGGTGATCCAAACGTCGAGGGACGTATAGATCATGTGAAGAACAAAACTTCAGGTGAAGTTTTGATCTGAGTCACCGCATTGTCGCTTATCGCTCCCTAGGGCTACGCTATTCTTTTTGTCCTTTTTGGTTATCATCCAACTAAACACAGAACAATATGAAAATGTTAATAACCGGAAATATAAACACTAAGACCGATTAAAATAAAGTTACGTTAGAAAAATGGAAAAAGTTAAGAAAACTAACTCTTTAGAAGACATATGATTCCATAGTATTATATCACAGATAATAATAGTAAGACCATCATTTTCTACGCCTGAGACAATAAGGCTTCTATTAACTATTACAATCATTTTAGTGTCAAAAAACCTCTTACAATGCCCTCAACAGTATCCCTTCCAGTGTAATACGTTGCACATACCTATCATCGTTCTCTCAATTAATCAGTTAAAAACATATGCAAAATCTAAGGCTTTCGACAAGACAAGTAAGTTGAAATGCATCGTGTAATCAGCTATAAGTAATGCCTCATACCCCAGTCGATAAGATGCATAAAAGAAAATCTCTGAAACAAAATATATCTTCCTCAAAAGTTATGGATCCATCCAAGAAAAAGACGAGCACACTCCAAGGTATGAGTCATGAGTCTCATGACCCACTCTGCCTGATTGTTTCGAAGGCTACCTCAATTTCACCAGTTGATTACTGTAACATCATTCTCGCCTGCAAAGATCTTTACTTGACATCTAAGCTACTACAGTCAACATCCCCGCACTTGCACGGGGCTACGCTCCTAGTGTTATACTAAAGGGACAACTTAATGATGGTTTTATACTAATGGGACAAGGAGTTGATTTTCTATTCTATCTTAGCATAATTCCTTTAATAATTTTCTTGATGGCCATATTTATGTTAGAGTACACTGAATGATAATTTTTAAAAAATTATATAGATAAAATATACTCTCTCTGATTTTTAATAAATAACGATTTAGGATATGTAAGAAAATATTTAATTTTTACATTTTCTAGAAATTATTTTTTTACGTAACTATAATTTTTTTGTAGAAGTTGAATGTATAGTATCATTGGTCATATAACATTAAATTATTGATAATATTTACATAGAAAAATGAAAACTTCATCTAGTGGAATTTTTTTCTTTAAGAAATCATATATTAAGAATATAGAGGGCATATGAAATAGTTTTGTTTCTTTAAAACATCATGTATCAAAAACAGAGGGAGTATGAAATAGTACTATATATAAAATGTTATAGAAAACTAATTTATTTGAGCATTTATAAAAATAATGTATAATAGATGACATTTATGTACTATATATAATGATTTCATATTAAAATTGTTGATAATTATTGGGGATTGGCCAAATATAACTCAAAACTTTATTTTAAATGCAAATGTGCATGCCAAAGTCAATCAAATGAAAAAAAAAAAAAAACCTAAAAGATTAGTGAAATTACAACCAGCCTCTATGACCAAACAAAAAAAGCAATACTAGGTTTTATGATAATAACCATGTGCATAAAAATAATTTTAGAGAAATTTTCTTAGGATACTTACTTAAAAGTCTTCTCATACACTAGAACTTAAAAAATAATTTATAAATTTAATAAAAATATTTTTATTAGAAAAAAATCTTAATCATGTAATTATAGACATTTTTAAATGATGTAAATTTAGATTTATTAAAAGTAAATAGTTTTTAACATAGATGAGTGAATGTAAGTTGAGTCATGATATTTTTTGGCAGAAGGTTTAGTAACTATGTTATAGTATTCTATGTGTGTTTTAGGGTTAGATTGTGTAATCTGATTTTTTTTTTTTTTTAAAAAAACTAAATTGACTTATATATGTTTAGTTTTGTGTAAAATTAAACACTTTAAAAGTTGATTTTGAGTTTAATAAAGTTTGTTATTTTAATATTTGATTTTGAGTTTGGAAGACTTCCCAAAATTAAATAATGCACTAAAGATTTACTGGAAGACTTAACAACATAGTCTACCGTTTCCCGCTTAATTTTTAAAACAATTTTGGTTTCCTGTTAAGTCTTCCAATAAGTCTTCTAGAAAGTCTTCCAAAGTCTTCTCATGTTTTAGATCTTAAAAATATTTTATAAATTTTATAATAAAGAATTTGATAAGCAAAAAATCCTTATCATATTATAGGTATTCCTAAATGACGTAAATTAGGCTTACTAAAATTGAATTATTTTCAACATAGATGAGTGAATTTAGATTGATTCATGATATTTTTTTTGGTTTAGGGTTGGTAACATATGTTATATTATTGTTTGTATTCTTAGGATTAGATTTTGGAATCGTAACAAGAAAATTTTGACATGCCCAGTATATTTTCGTTGTTCACTGTTTATTCAATGACTAACCAGAGGTCTTGTTCCAGTATGCCCTATGGGGATATTCATTATTATATATAGTATGATTATTAATAATTTTTTTTGATAAATATATGTTTAGTTTTGTATATATTCAACACTTTACAAGTCGATTTTAAGTTTAATGAGATATTTGTTGCTATTTAATTAGTTACTTTCTTTTAAAGTTTAGATGACGTATTGGAAAATTTTCTAACAAATATAACTTCAATGTAAGTCTTTAGGACGAATATTAGATTTAGAGTGTAGAAGACTTCTTGGAAATTTATCAGGTAAGTCTTCCATTAGAAGAATTCTTGGAAGACTTTCATGGAAGGTTTCTATTAGAAGACTTACATGAAAGTCTTATGTATCGAAAATAAAATATTCAACCTAATTAGAATTTTTGTCTTCTTATATAAGGAAAACTAGGTGACTGGCTCGCACCCTGTGCGAGCATGAAAAAAATACTGTGATATTGGTTGAGTTGAATTTTAATGGAAACGGATCTTCGATAGTGAACTCATTGATCTCCAAGTATTGCAGGATCTTCTAAGTTTTTTGGTAACAAGTATGAGTATGAATTTTTTTCAGAGTGTTGTGAACAGATTTGGTATTTTCTCATGGCTGCTGTTGATCGGAACCGGCTTGATGGCCCAAAGATAGAGAGGTGACTTGTTGGTTCTATGAACCACTGTTTATGGCTTTAGTTTAGTTTTTTTTATTTTTTTCACGAGATGTTGCGATTACAAGGAGTGTTCTTGCAAGGAAACCTATAAAATTTACCCATTGAATCTTGAATAAATTTGTACTTTTGTTTCAATTATTTCAATCCCATTTGTATCTTTTACAATTATGATTGTATCATAAGCTGTTTTGAGTTTCTTACTTACCAAGGTACATATTATTAATAAAGCTGCTAATTGGGTTTGATGCAGGGTAGATGTTGTAGTCTTTGTTATCTGGGAGCTAGTCATCTTAGCATTCTTAGTGTTCTCAGTCGTTTCCTTGTACTTCAAGCGATTGCAGCTCGCCATCATCTTGGTATGCGTCACTTTGCTACTACTTGTTTACATGAAGGTCACAAAGCAGGTGAGATTGGCCAGGAAGAAGAAGCGAAGGATGCTTCTTCCACTGTACCAAACTCCATATGAGAAGTTCGCCTTTATATTATTACTAAGTGAAATTGTGTTGTAAAAGTTCTGTAATTTTATATTTTTTATTTAATTCAAAAATTTATGTTTTCAAACAAATTTTTTTAAAATAGTGGCATATTAAAAGAAAATATGATAAAAGTTCAAATATAATCCATAAGTAATATAAAATAAGATGTACATTTCTCGATAAAAAACTTCCAATCAGAAACCTGCACAAAGTTATTTAATTTTGTAAGCAATCGTACGAAATCAAATATCCTAATAGATTTCTAAATTTTATTGAGACTAAAACTATATTATATTGATATACAATTATAGAAATAGTCTTAAAATTGGTTTGTAGGCAACTACAACCTGTCTTTCGTCTGTGCTATTCTATCTGTTAATAGAAAAAAAAACAAATGTAAAAGTTTAATAATTCAAAATCTTTATCGAATAAAAATAGAGTAAAATTGCGTACCGTTTGCTATGGAATATTCTGAAAAACTTGTTTGTAGACAAAATTTGTTGTTTTTGTCTCTGGCTTCCCTTGTTTATCTGTTATTAGGATTTTTAATTGAGATCTCGACTTTACTCTTGAAAGTGCAACGTATAACTGGCCATGAGAGAAAACTGATATAGGGAGAAATAAACCAACATTTTTCAATGTTTGACCTTGATTTTTATTGATAGTCATTGCAAAAGCCAACATAACTGAAAACTGTCTTCGACGCATTCTGAAGGGAAACTTTGTATCAGGTGGTGTAACAAACATTATCGAGATCCAAATTGACTCTCTGAAATATCGTTTCTTGTTATAATTCTACTTTGTATGACATGGGGCAATAACTGAGTAATAATCAGCCTAGGAACATCACTCAAGTCTCTTATGTTGTGTACAGCTGCGAATGACTAATTATATATATGTACAACAACTGTTATAAGACTCTACATAATACGTTCACACTTTAACAAAACAACTTAGTTTTTATGTATGTTTACTATACTATTAAGGTTTCCAAATATAATAGGCAGTACATCCATCTTCTTCCCCTAACCTGACAAAACCCCAAGCAATGTTTATTAAAAAAACACCATATTCATTATCATGGTTACCGATCATTATTTTCTGGAACCCCAACGAATCGTTGGCAATAAAACCTTTTCTGAGAAACACACATAATACCTTTTTTTCACCATCGGTAACACCACCGCTCTGGATCTGCAAAAAAATTCTTATCTGTTTTACTTTTTGTTATTTTATTTTGGCCTCACCTCGGCACCAAAGCTATGGGACCTTATGCTAATTAGTAAACACAAACTAACCTTGATTCTTTGTTGAACCCTCTGCAATCGTCCTGCCGGTAACTATGAAAGACCGGCTGAAACCCTAATTGTTCTCCTCCAACTCCTTTAGCTTAGAAACTCTTTGATTCGTTGTCTACTCATTTTCCTTTCACAACCACGCCTCCCAATCTGTCTCTAGAAATTTCTCTCTCACAACTTTCGTATGTAACTGGTATGTGAAGAAAATAATGACTTCTCGTTTCTTGAGGAAAGAGAAATGATCTACTTTCACCATTACGCGCATATAAATGTATTATTGTCCAATTTGAACATAATATATATATCATATCGTAACCTAAATCTTCCTATGTACATTTTCTTAAATTTGGGGACGTTATGGATGTGACACCAAATTTTGTCATTTACGAACCATTTGGTTGTTGACAAAAAAAAAAAAAAAAGAACCATTTGTTTTTTTTTGGTAAGAAAACTAGTTGGCTATTTACACAATTCGGTTCAGATATTTTGGATTTTGGTTTGATTATGTTTGGACAGCAAAACTGAAAACTGGCTACTTCAGATAATTTGGTGAGCAATTTGATTTATAAATAGCAGTTTCTTTTTATATTTAGTTATTTAAAAACTAAATAAAGAAATATTTTATGTATAACCCATATTTAACTTTTGAGTATCCATTCAATTCCCAATTCAATTTCAGTTTAGTGCCCAGACCAACTTATAATTGTGCTAGACTGCTAGTTCAATTGGTTTTCATTTTTAGTAGTCATATCGGTTCAATTCAGGAGATAATATATTTGTATTTGGTTTGGGTTCAATCTAGAACGAAAAAGAAATCAGAATCCAAGTCTCCATTAGGCCAAACATAAATGGCTCGAGCAATCTTGTATTCAGTATTCACCAACAAAAACACAATGAAACTCAAACAATTTCGTGTAAGAGACCAGAACTAAAACCAACAAAGGAGACATTATTCACAGTTGAAGGTCTAAATTCGAGAGGAACGTTCCAATCATTCAGATTATCACCCGACCATTTTAAGTCAACATTCTCAACGCTGAACCCATTCACGTGTTCCATAATGATCCCAGCTGTGGCGCTATGGTTCACTAGACCTTGACATCCAGGTCTATAATCCACAAGCCCTGAAGTGTAATTACTCCATCTTCTCAAAGTAATGTTTATGTTCTTGAACTTTATGTCTGTGAGTAATCCGTTTGGAGAACCAGATAAAAAGACACCATTTTCAGAAACGATTGTTATGTTTACGAAAAGGAGATTCGAAATTGAGCCTTCGCCTGAAGATGAACTGCGCGGGCAAGTTGTTATATATATTGGTTCTGCTCTTCCCCACCAGGAAGGATCGTAGTATCGTGTACTGATGTTCATGTTTGAAAACGTAATGCCATTCACATTTCCTGCAAAAAGATCACTTACATGAGTAGTTTCTGAGTTATATACAGCCAAAGAATGAAACTATGTACCTCCATCGCGTATTTGCATGCCAAGGCCTCTGTGAGATTCAAAAATGGTGATGTTATCAAAGACAAGACCTTTGAATTCAAACCAACTCGCGCTACCAAGTTTAATGGCGGAGGATTTGGTCCGGATCCAGCAGTCTGTAACGGTTAAGTTGTAAAGTGGGGCAACATAAGTCTTGGGACAGATTGCGTCATCTCCTGTGTCGATGTGACACCGAGTTATCAAAGTATTGTTTGAATCTTCTATGTCGATGCCATCGTTATTTGGAGTGTTGAAGTCGCCTAAGATCGATACATCGTGGACTGAAGTGTTCTCGCACCTCACGATATGCAAACTGCAAAACCAAACCATATGTAATTCTATGCATCTTGAATCACTTTTACACACAGACACACATATATATAATATTAAAAGGATTGGAACCAAAATCCGTAATCCCAAAACCAGAAACCACATGTAATATTAGTTTAGGTCACTCACTGTTTTTAATATAGTAGGCTATTCAAAATGAGTAGGTAAAGATAGTACTGACCACCAATACGCAGGCTCACGAAGTGTGATGTTCCAGATATGAAAATTGGTGGAGTCAACGACTCCAACAAGCCTAGGTCTACACTCATCACCCAAGCAAGCCCCAGTCTGATTCCAGCTCACCATCACGTTCTTCCTCTCATCGAATCTCACCACGAATTTCGATCCCTGTCCGTCGATTGCTCCTCCGCCGGTGATTCCAACATCTCTCGTGTTGTTCGCCACCACCACGTACCATCCCGACGAAGTATCCGCCGGGTAGTCTTCAATCCTCGGTCCACCGAGAAGCACGGCGTTCTCCGTCACATCGAGGAGGACGCCGGATCGGAGATGGAGCTTGGCAGTCAAATAGGTGCCGGGAGGAAACGTGACGCGGCAGATGGAAGAAGATGAGGTGTAGTGATGATTGCAGGCGTTTATTGCTGACTGTATCGCGGAGGTGTCGTAGTGGATACCATCGCCGGTGGCGCCGAAATCGGTGACGGAGAGGGCCAAGGAATCGCCGGGAAGTTGGATCTTCTGTGATGACGTGTACGAACGTGATTGGACGACGGAAAATAATAGGAACAAGGGGAATAATATGCTTCGCATCAGTAGCGGGGAGTCCATTGCGATAATTTTGGGTCTTGGGATCATCATCTATTCCACTCACTCGACAAATCACACAAACAACAACACTGTCGTGTATAATCTTGAAATTGACTTTGAAGACCCTATAGTTTAGTTGTTTTATAAATAGACGCCATAACGTTTTTTTCTTTTTTGAACACTAGACGCCATAACGTTTAAAATGTAAAATGTACTAGATCGATCCTCATTTTGTTGTGTTTTTTTGCGGGAACAAAGCTGTAGCCGATTATCTGAACCGAGAACTTCCGAACAAGCTGACGCCAGACGACATAATGGACACCAGTAATCTTAGTAGGACTAGTGAATAACTCAATGACAGAGTTACCAATTTGATTTTGGAAGCCAGGGAACTTGGAAGAGCTATTTACAGTATCTTGAAACTTCCAGGTACCTGTAAACGGACATGAGAGCTCAAAATATGTCGCAGCTTAAGATAGATAGGAAACAGAAAGAAAACCTCTGTAAGTTCCAGTTATATTCCAGGCGGAAAATGGTCCAGATGATCCGCTGCTCAGTTCTTTTTTACCAAAGAGTCACTGGCAAGTGGCAACACAAATCATTAGACACACAATCAGAAAATATGTTGCACATTCTCGATCCTATCCTAGGAAACTACTACTACTACTACTTGGTGTTGTATTGAATCTCAACCAACAAGGGGTATGTGATGATGTTGGAATATGCCTTGAATCTGCATCGTTCGATCTAGGTGTCATGGATCGGTCGATCTGGCTGGACACGTATCGATCGATACAAGAGCTTGTGTATCGATCGATATTATGTCAAATCCGAGAAAATATGGAAAGTTTCATTAAACGCTTTCTTATATATATTTAGGGTTTTACACTATTATGTAACACGAGTTGTACTCTGAAAAACTAGCATCCACTAATAAAGTATTCCTTTTTGCCCGTGGATCAAACCACGTTAAATCTCTGTGTCTTTCTCTTATGTTCATCTATTCTGCTAATCTGTTTCTTCTCACATCTGTCACAACAAACTGGTATCAGGGCTTTGGGTTGAATCTGGTGAGAAGATGTTTGGGATGAACATGAAGATCGACAAGTTTACTGGAAGGAGGAACAGTTTCAGTCTCTGGCAAATCAAGATGAA